TTCCCATGCTTCTCGAGGCATCCGGATCTTGTTCAACGTTTTCAAATCGCTGAAGACGACCAACTGGACCCCCTGTTTGCTTCTGCATATCGACAACAGACTATCTTCACCAAGTTTGAAGAACTGCGACATTTTGATGTTCGAACGTACAACTTAGGCCAGTGAATTGGAGTTTGATTTGACCATTCCAACATATATAGCCTTCAAATTGCACGCCTGAACATGCAACAAGCCTAACAAAAGAATTGCGCTTGACGTCATCCGTCGCTATGACAAAACGTAAACATTACCCCCACATGGCCAGGCCCGTTCTGTGACGTCATCCGTTACCATAGTGAAACGTAAACATTACCCCGACATGCCCAGGCCCGTTCTGTGACGTCATCCGTTACCATAGTAAAACGTAAACAAATTGTTTGTTTTTGTAACCGAGTATCACAAACAACGACTGAATATAAGAATTATCAGCTTCTTTATTACTGTACATGCCAACGCGACAGTGTGAGTAAAAATGACCCAGAATACTATTGAGCGGGTAATTTATATGTACCGCTCACGTGACTAATAAAAGCTCACGTGACTACAAAAAAGGGCGGGAATGCTTACGTAATAACCCTATTACATATGCCCCCCAAAAATATGATGGCGTCCCGCCAATCACAATCATATTTACAAAATATATACATTGAAGTAAATTAAATGACAAAAATACATTACATTAAAAATACAAATTATCCACATAACATTAGCAATTTATACTTGTGAGCGTGCACACACACACACACAGCCACGCACACGCAACCTTTACATTAAGGAAACGCGACTGAATACGCGACTTATAAGAAAAGACAAAACTACTAATGCAATCTTTTACTTCTTTTATTTCTTCTGATTAAAACATAAAATATCTTAAAATCACATTTTCTCAACTTTACACAACTTTGCCAACAATTCAAACATCGTTTGACTAGCACGGATGAATTCCCCATACACTCCTACCAGTGCATTCACAGAGCTAGTATGCTCTGTTGCGACTTGTGATAAAACATAATTCCCCTCCTCCATCCATTGAGGACGGCGTCTTACACGTGAAGATCGACGAACTGGTGGAGTTTCAGGTGATTCTTCTAGCTGAACATTTTCTTCTGCTGCTTCTCCTGATTCTTCATCTTCCTCTGTACTGTCTCTGTTACGAAGGGTCATAAAATATTCTACACCGGAAGAACTGTCAGAAGACCCAGAACTTAATCTTCTGGCAACACTTTTCTTACCTGCAGATCTACCTTCTTTTTCTTTACCTGAGAGACTCATGGGAAAGGTCAGGGGCAGTAATAAATTTCTGTGTACAACTTTTTGATCACCCTTTCCATTTTCCTGCTGAATTATGTACACAGGCATATTCGGATCTTTTTGACCGATGATGACATAGACCTCTTTTCGCCACTTATTGGCCAATTTGTGCTTTCCTTTAATGCCTACGTTTTTTATTAAAACACGGTCTCCTACTTGAGGTACTGCACCACGCGCCCGAAGGTCATACTTACTCTTATTTTCAGATCTTTTCTTTTCCATTCTCCTGTTTGCTATTCCATATGCTGTTTCTAATCTGTCTCGTAACTTACCTATGTATTCATCGTAGTCTTCATGCTCCTCCTCTGTGTACAGTCCGAACATTACATCTACCGAAAGACGGGGGGCCCTCCCGAACATTAGGTAAAAGGGGCTGTACCCAGTGGATTCGTGCACAGTGCAATTGTATGCATGTACTAATGAAGACACATGGGCTTTCCAATTTTCCTTATGTTCATCACTGAGAGTACGCAACATGTTAATCAAAGTTCTATTGAACCGTTCAGTAACTGCGTTTCCCATTGGATGATAAGGAGTTGTCCTAAATTTTTCTACCCCAAGCATCTTACACATTTGTTTGATAACCTTACTTTCAAAGTTTCGCCCCTGATCACTGTGTAATCTCAAAGGAAACCCGTATTGCACCATAAAATTTTCATACAGTACCTTTGCTGTGGTCTCCGCGGACTGATTCTTCGTTGGTATCGCCCATGCATATTTCGTAAACACATCAGTAATCACCAATATGTTACTCACCTTTCCCCGTGATTCCTCAAGGCCTAGAAAATCCATAGAAATCAGTTCCATGGGCTGTGAGGCAATTAAGTGCTCCATTTGAGCTCTTTCAGGTAAGTAGGGGTTCTTCCCAAGCTGACAGGACGTACATTTCTTCACTTTGTCACTCACAAAGTTAGTCATTCCAGGCCAATAAAAGCGTTCTTTTAAAATAGAAAGTGTTCTATCTCTACCCTGATGTCCCATATCGTTATGACAAGCAGAAAAAACCTTATCGTGCCAAACTGTCGGTATTACCAACCGATTCCCGTGATACAACACGCCATTACTCACCTTTAACTTCTTCCATGATCTCCGGAAAGGCTTCATTATCTCTGAATGAGGAAGGTCTTTCAACTCACCTGATGTACCAATCACTTCCAGTATTTTCCGAATAATTGGGTCCTTGCTTTGTTCTTCTTGCCAATTAATTTTCAAATCTTCCCACTCTGCTACTAGGGGGAAACACTTAGGATAAAAAGGAAGATTTTCAGAATAACCAACATCCAAACCTACACTGTGATCATAACTACACATGTCTTTCACAATCTGTGACGAACAATGACACTTTCTAGTAGGTAATCGTGACAGGGCATCCGCGTCAATATTGGACTTACCTGAGAGATAGCTTAACTCAAAATCATACGCGGCTAAACTTGCCAACCAACGATGACCTGCAGCATCTACCTTAGCTGTAGTAAGAATGTATGTTAGTGGATTATTGTCTGTAATAACCACAAATTTGTGCCCATACAAATAATCGTGAAATTTTTGAGTTACAGCCCACTTCAGCGCAAGAAATTCCAATTTGTTTGAGCAATAATTTTGCTCATTGCGATTTAATGCCCGACTAGCGTAAGCTACCACACGTGTGCTACCATCTTGCTTTTGGCATAACACTGCCCCTAACCCACTAGAACTCGCATCAATGTGCAATTCAAAAGGGAGTGTATAATCAGGATAGCATAAAATGGGAGGGTTTGTAAGTTTTTCTATAAGCGTTTCGAATGCTTTCTGGTGCTCCTCCTTCCATACCCAATGGGCGGCTCCCTTCTTTCGTTGTTCTTCTTTGGTCAACTCGTAGAGAGGTTTTGCTATTTTCGCGAAGTCCTTCACAAATTTACGGTAAAACCCAGCAAAACCTAAAAACCGTTGTGTCTCTTTAATGTTAGTTGGAGTTTTCCATTGTCTCAAACAATTTATGTTTTCTGAATCACATTCAATGCCTGCACTTGAAACAATGTGCCCTAAATACTTTATTCTCCTTTGTAAAAATTGACACTTTGAAGGCTTAAGCTTCAACCCTGCTTTTTTTAATCGACACAACACCTCTCTGATTTTTGAAACGTGTTCATCAATACTGTCTCCTGAAAACACAATAATGTCATCGAGATACACCATGCAAGTTTTCAAATTCAAATCCCCTATCACTTTCTCCATTAGATTTTGAAATGTTGCTGGACTGTTAGTCAAACCCATAGCCATTCTATTACATTCATAAAAACCCAGTGGGCCAACAGTAAATGCAGTTTTTGCTTTATCAGCTTCTTTTAGCTCCACTTGCCAGTATCCGCTACATAAATCTAGAGAAGAAAACCATACTGCACCTTTTAACGCGTCCAATGTCTCCTCAATTCGCGGTAACGGGTGTGCATTTCGTACTGTGCGGCTATTTAATTTCCTGTAATCTATACAGAAACGGATTGTCCCATTTTTTTTCCTCACAAGAACAACGTTTGACGCCCAAGGACTGGACGACTCTCTGATGACTCCCGCACTCTTCATTTCTTCCAGATACTCCCTAACTTCTTCATACAGAGCTGGAGGTATACGTCTGGAACGGTCTTTGAATGGGCGATCATCTGACAATTCTATTTCATGTTTCACTATTGATGTTTTCCCCAGATCCATCTTATGTTTAGCAAATGCAGATCTCTGCTCCAACAATAATTCTTTAAGTCGCGAAACACCTTCCGTTTCTTCCGGTAAGTTGAACTGAGCTAAAAATCTTCCATCATCTTCACTGGATGGGTCCATTATGGTAACTTGATGGAGTTGAGCAATCGTTGTACCAGGCTGCACAGTGACTGGTCTTGAATTATGGTTTGTGATCTCAATCTCGATCTGTCCATTTTTCGTGAGACTAACCACTCCCGGTGTAACATGCAACTCACCTTCACCATGAACATTGTCTCCTGACCCCATATTACCCTGTACCATCGCAATTGTTCTGGGTATTGGAATAATAACTTGTGATGCACAACACAAAATTGTCGACTGGTTTGGACCAATTTCCCTCTTCTCTACACATTTGATTAAACCATATACCCCATCTGTTTTTTCTAAATGCCTTTTTCTCAACCCTACCGTTTGTAAAGCTAAACTCACAGGTTTATTTACACTCACCTTTGTTTCACCATTGTTTTCCTTCATTTCCAGTTGATCATATAATCTATCAAGCACATTTGTACCTATCAACAAAGGAATTCTCCCGTTGTATTCAGTATCTGGTGCTACCAGCACCGGGAATACACCTACCTTATGTGGCGATCCATCAACCGGAACAGCTACCTCCAATTCCACATAGCAGGAATACGGTAGTTTTTCATCAAGTGGTCCCTTTACTAATAAAATTTTATCAATGGCATGTTTAGGCAGATATGGAAATTGACTTTCTATAAAATAACTACTTACACACGTGACCATTGATCCCGAGTCAATTAACGCATATGCACAAATATCATCTACAATTGCAACTGTTTCATTAGCACTACCCACTAGATTTTGACATAAAGTTTGGACTTCGCGTCTAAGTCGAGTCTCACCTTTGGGATCTTTCTCCCCTTTGGTCCCCAGTGATCCCTCCTTGGAAACCATTACTTGTTTAAAGTTCTCTGAAGTAATTTCTCTTGCACCAACTCCGCGTTAGATGTCTTCTTACAAGCATCAACCAAATGACCATCCTCACCACATTTATAGCAGAAAATCTTCCTTCTAGAATTCGAACCCATTCTCCTTTTCTCATACTTGGGTTTCACGGGCTTGTTTGCAGATTTGTCTGGTTTAGCAGCTGTCGTTGACTTACATTGTTCCTTGGCCTCCAACTTTTCCACTCGAGCCTGTAACTCAGCAATCTTCTTTTTATCTTCAAGCTCGCTGCTAGTCATCTCATCTGGAACAGACATGGAACTCACCCTTCCCTCTTTCTTCCGTGCCAATCGTAGCTTTTTCTCTGTGCGTCTCGCTTCTTCCTTTCTAACTAACAAAAGTAATTCAGCAAAACTAGGAGGGTTATCGATTTTTTCCAACCCAAGTTTATTAATCATTTCATCATCAAAGCAACCTCGAATGAATTGTCTCAAAAGATTCTCTGGTACCTCTCTAACACCCATGCCTCCTCTCTCTACCACTTGCATTGCCTGCAGGTACAACCTCTGCAGGTACTGAGATGGAGTTTCTTTTTCTTTCTGATAATTGACAAAAAATTGCACGAGAAGTTCTTTACCGTCGACAACAATGCCATAAACCGACTCTAAAACTTCGACTATCTGCACTGCAGTAAAGGCTTCTCTTACCGTGTCTAATGCAGGTCTTAACAAACTTTGTCTAATTATACGCGTAGCTTCCACATTATCCGTTTCCCCTCGAATATCTGCCAAGAGTGGCTCTACTTGAAATTTCCACGTTTCAAAATCTACTTCTCCATGCGGCACTGGAGTTTTACCAGAAAAAAGTCTCAACTTGCGGGAATAACCTCCGAAATGCGATGTAAATAATGAACGTTGGGGTGCGTCTCCCCGACTCGTCCCAGCCGTAGCAGAAGCAGCGGCACCTCTTGCCGACTCGGGACTCAATAATTGTAACACCGCGGCTTTGTCGTCTGCACTTAAAGCTTCTAATTGCTCACGTAATTGGGTATCCATATTTACAGCGTCAATCCAAACAAATGCAACACACACAAGCAACACTCACAAGTGCTCACCAAATGTAAAAAAAAAACACAATGCAATTAATCAAAAAGTTTTAAAAAAATGAAAACTGAAAGTAAAAAAAAATAAATAAAATGACATACAAAATATTAAAAAAATATGACGGTAATAAATAAATTTGGAATGTAATTGACAAACAAAATAAAAAGATGACTATAAGTATATAAAAATATTGAAAAAAATTGAAAGCAATGAATAATTTTGCAATTTCAAAACAAAACAAAAATATAATAATAATGATACAAAAATTATGAAAAAAAAATGATGGCAAAAATAATTTTGTGATGTGATTGGCTGAACAAAATACAAATAAAAAAATAAAAGTGATGAAAAGAAAGAAAAAAATGAAGGACGCCTGACAAAATTGCAATATTCAGCTAAATTTAGAAAATATTTGACAAATGCGCTTATAAATTATGTAAACTTATGTAAACTAGTAACAGAAATTAATTACAATTCCTATCTAGAGTAATTACTAAACCACTTAGAAATTAATTTACTTAATACAATTCTCAATTTAAACAGAATCTTAAAGAACTTTAAATGAAAGTAATGGCAGAACAACAATTTACTGAAATAATTGGCTAAGTAATAAAACAGTCTAATCTGCCATTGTAATTAAGTAAAAAAATTAAGTAAAGTTTAAATGAATTAAGTTAGATTTGGTAAATCACACAGGATAAGTGTTAATGTAGGATTCAATGAAAATTAAAGGTAATGCAATTATTGGCAGAAAAAAAATGATTAAATAAATAACTGAATGACACAAATCCAATCACAACAATTAAACAAACAAAAAAAAACACGGAAACTAAATAACTAAACCAAAATGAAAGGGACTTGATTTACAGAATAAACTGATGACAAAAGTAATAAATTAACAAAATAAAAAGATTATAATCACTACCAAACAAAAATATGCTCAATATAAACAAACCAGATTAAGATGGTAAGTCCAATTATAATTCAAACTATAAGCAATTAGTATGTAAATAAGATAAAGAAAGAAGAAAAAAATCAAAACTTAATATTCTATATAAAGTAAAATAAAGTAACTGAAGATTTGATAATTAAATAAACTAAATGCAAATTATAAATATAAATAAATCTGTAATTCTATTAATAGTAATCAGTCAAGTTAGGTGGATTGGCAGCAGTTCAATATTAAAATACACTGGAGTGTTATAGCACTACTCTTTACATGCCATGCTGTTGCACAAAGCACACAATATTGAACGCACTGAACTAATGTCACAGGGATATACACTGCAAAATCCCAATTACAAAGTAACACAACGTCACATAGGAACGCACTCCAATGGGGTGTAAATAACTAAACGCTACAATATAAACACCGGATCTTACGTCACAGGTACATGCACTACTCTACCATAAAATTACAGGGTGGAAGCGCAACATTGTGACACACACAGTGACACCACTAGGGAAATACACAAATCATTGGTTAAAAGAACAACAACTGTTACACACAGAAGCATAAGCAATGGATTGGATCACTATCAAGTGAAACAGCACAATTACGATCACAGTCAACGGACTGGAGGTAGCGCAGTAAACAGCTGCACATATAAAGCTACACACATGCAACACAGAGGTATCACATTCGGCTGCACACGTAAAGTTACAAACATGCACAAGGAGGTATTACTACAACTGACTGGCTTGACATAAAAAGCAACATATAGGTCAACAAAACAAGTATTATGTACAATGTTTAGCTACACACGAAAAGCAACACAAAGACAAGCAAGACATAAAATTGTGTATACTTATCGTTTGCCGCACCTCCTCAGAATCCTCCGTCGAATGGAAATAATGACTAAATACAGTAACCCGTTTATCCCAACTAATGTCCGATAATAATAACGGTATACAAAGTCAAAATTGTCTATTCACAAATGTCCGTTCAAATGTCCAATGTCATTACTCTAGTCCTCGTCCTCCATATCGCTTGGGGCACCAATTCAGCTACCTGTGGCGGCGGCTCCCAATCCAGAAATCGGCGTTGTCTGAACGCTGTCGTCTGCGGCACGGGGAAGAAGTCCGTAACACAGGAGAGCAACCACTCAGTCCAGAAAGCGGCGTGCAAGAAGGCAACCACTCAGTCCAAAAATCGGTCTTGTCTGAACGCTGTCGTCTACGGCACGGGGCAATAGTCCGATATACAGGAGGAGACAAAAACACAGGAGTGTAAATAGTTCTGCCGCTGGGCGTCAACACACTACTTCCAAATCGATTGCAGAACGACCAGCACTCTCCAACTCTACTGTCCGGATGACAAACACACTAGACACATCAAAGCCGAATACGTCCCCACCTGTTCCGATGGCAATCAAAGTGATGTCCCCGGGACAAAGTCCAAATATAATGAGCTAGGTTCTCACAATACGATCGACGCAAATGTTTCTCTAACGAATCCTAATAAGCACTTCGTGTATCTTTACGTACAGGTAACTATCAGTCGTTACGATGATAAGTTGACGATTATTTTGACATCTCACCTTGTAGCAGGGTGTGACTGGTTGAAAATCCGATCCCTCCTTTACGGTGGGCGGCTTTATTGTTCAGCTGTGAAGTATATTCACTGTTTGTTCGCTATCAACCAAAAAGTTCAGAGGATCGTCAATATCATTGAAAAGAGGAATACCTGGATCCTGTCGACTGCGCCATTTGTAACCGAGTATCACAAACAACGACTGAATATAAGAATTATCAGCTTCTTTATTACTGTACATGCCAACGCGACAGTGTGAGTAAAAATGACCCAGAATACTATTGAGCGGGTAATTTATATGTCCCGCTCACGTGACTAATAAAAGCTCACGTGACTACAAAAAAGGGCGGGAATGCTTACGTAATAACCCTATTACATTTATTTTGTTAACATCCCCATTGTTCGCTATAGGTTTTCCATTGTTCAAATGACGTAACATAACAAAAGAAAAAAATGAAATTCTTTTGTTACGTATAGTACGGATGTTACTACTAACTTCTGGAGATCGGCACGTTAGTATTTTATTTCCTTATCCGCTTCAGTAATGCTGAAATATACAGAGGTGCGACAAAAGGACTTCATCATTTTACTTAAAGGTGAACAAGAGTATTTTATTGAAAACTGGTTATGTCAATTTAGTGTCTTGACTACAGGTTACGTAAATGACATACTATTATGTCAGTGTAAATTAAAAGAATATCCACTCAATATGGCCACCAACCTTCTAGTCATTGCCCGATAGCGATTCAGTAAACTTCTGGGAGTCATGTTGGCCCAGGTCGTAAAGAAACTATGGGTTACAGTTGCCACTTGATTTCTAATCTCATTCAAGAGGTTTTGAATTTCGCTCCTCAAATATGTTTCTATCTATCTATGGTATATGAAGCTGGTCAAGAATTTCAATGTAACGCTCACTGCCTACGTTTCCATTTATCGACACTAATTCACTAATTCCGTAGAGACCAATGTACCCCGATTCCATTATTAAAGTGGACTATCCTGTGCGAAAATGCATATATTTTCTAGCATATCAGAAGTGGTTGATGTTCTCCATAATCTCACCTGTCCAACAACGTTGTTCAAGGTGTATATGGACTCCTCGGAAAATAAAAGATAGGGCAACGTAACCCATCACCCATGCAATGCTTCTTGCAGCCCATGTCACTCTTCTTCGTCTGTTTCCCAAGATAATAAGCGGTTTCCAACTGGAAACTCTGATGTGAATTCCTGACACATGGAGCCCCTTTGAACAATTATTTTTGTTAATCTCAACCTGCAAAGCTACAGGGTTGCTACTTAATATGGAATATTTTTTATCATTGTTATTTTTGAAGGCTGATTTTTTTTTTTTTTTGGCTTGAGTCATTAAAAAAGTATGTCACTGAGTGATAATAACATCTAGTCTTCTCTTGTGAGATATTTTGATCAATAATATCAAATCTGACATAAGATGCCATTCAAAAGAAAGGAACACCCCAAGAAAACCATATCAACAGTTTGATGTCAGTATAAACTTTAAGATAAGATATTAAAGAAAATGATAGCCTCCGGACAGTGATATGTTACACAGTCAAATAACTCACTACAGTAAATCATGACAAGTAAGTAATTGCGGGTATGACCTCCAGCAGCCGCTTGCAGCGCCCGCGTCCTACCTGGCATACCCTGTGACACGTTTTTTAGAGTTTGGGTGGGGATATTATACACGCAGTGATATTTGCCTGTCGCAGGTCATCACTATTTACCGGCCGAGGACCATAGCTATTAATTCTGTGAGTTACTTCCGCCTACAGATTTTCAATTGGGTTCATATCTGTTGAGTTTGCAGGCCAGGGCAGTAGCTGAACCCACTGGTTTTGAAGAAAAACAGTGATTCTGCGAGCTCGATATGGGGTTGCGCAGTCGTCTTGGTACACAAAGTCTTGGTGCACATGAGGATGACTAATTGAAGCATTGTTTGCTGTAGAATGTCTCTGTAGAAATCCTGGATGAGGTCGCCTCCTAGAAAAACCAACTGGTTCTGGGCACCGACATAAAATGCTCCCAAAACAGAGACGTTACCATCCCCTGCTTGCACCCTAGGCAGTACAAAATCATCGTTTTATGCCCCTCGTACACGTCGGTGGACACGGATTCGACGATCAACCCTAAAAAATCCATATCTGGCCTCATCACTGAAAACGACGTGATTCCAGTGGTTTGGCTGCAAACGCACGTGGTCCCCAGCCCATTGCAGACGTCACTGTATATGACCTGCTGTTAACAGTGGTTTTCCTACTGGCCTTCGTGCAAAATAACCGGCTTGCAGTAATCTCTTGTTCACAAGGGACCTTAAACAGGCGTTTGAATGACATTCTGCCTCTCTTTTCTGAGGACACTGGTTGTCTTTGAACGACCAGCACGGCATCCTCTAAGGAGAAGGTGATCCTGTCTTCTTGGTGTGACACGCAGACATCCTGGTCGAGGTATTGGAGTAGGTGCCCCAGTTGCAGCATTTCTTTGGAGGACTTCACAAACGGTTCCTGATAAATGTTGAATTACCTGGCAATGGCTGTCCGTTTCTGGCCATTTCCTCTGAGAACAAGAAGCCCATAGTAAGCTGCGTTGCCATATCTTCAATGAGGTACCTGTCAAGTATCAGAGCGAGCCCTTTGTTGCTTCTCTAAACACACTCCAAAGATTGACCAAACCCATGCGTTTTTGTATAAGGGTAGAAAAGACCACCCCTCACATTTCTGACCACAGAACATGCAACTGCATGCATCAATTGTTTCGACAGTTGTGTGGTAATTAGGTAACACACCTGGCTACACATGGAGTGGCACCTCAGCTTTTGATTTAAAGTAGTTAGAGAGAAATTAAATATTTGTAGAAAATTATAAGGCCAAAAAATAATATTCCATATTAAGTGGTAACTCTGTAATTCGATACAAGGTTCATAGCCATCAAGACTTGACAGCAGAAAAAGACTCATGTCGTTTGTTTTATTCGGGGAGCCCCTTTTTGGTATTTTATTGGCTTCACCAGTGCCCTCCATCCTTCTGCAAACCTCGCAACGGCCACATATGGTGTGTCTGGTCAGCCCGTAAATAGGGTTTGCACGAGATAGGTGAAGCATGGTATACCATGGGGCTGCAAGAACCATTGCATGGACCGGCGCCATTTTGCGCCATTTTGTTGTGAATAGTCATATTCACTGTTACCAATGTAAGTGGACATGCGAGAGTGTGGACTACACCATCCCATTCTTATCTGCCAAAGAATATGCATTTCTTCGTTAGGCAGTCCACTTCAATAATGGTTTGGGAATGCATCGGTTTCTAAGGAATTGGTGAACTACGGTTGATGCATGGAAATTTAAACCACGATTGTTACACTGAAATTTGTAATCAAGTATCAGGGATCGCGTCTTTACCAGAAATGCAGAAAGTGTTTCAGAGTTTGGACCATCATAGCCCCCTGAACGTTGAGCAATCTAAGCCCATATTGAGAAAACGTGGCTAGGAAACCTTTATACTTACATAACATGCGTTTCGTTTGGAAAAGTACTGGTCAGTAAATCTGAAGTTAAGATACTTATTTATACTTAAGATACTTACTTCAGTACCACTTTTCAATAAAGTACCAAGTAATCAAGCTGCTGTTCACCTTCAAACAAAATGGTGCAAAGCTTTTGTCATCCCACTGTATTTCAGTGCGTGAGATGGTTAATCAAGGGACAAAAATGTGTTGAAGCCCTGATGGTGCGCAACGATATTTAGATGTATTTGAGACAAAAGAAACCGTGAAAGCCTATTTTATGTAATATATACAATAGGTATTACTTACGTACCGTTACCCCAGATATGATCCTGTATAAACTTCAACTCTTCAGCACTGTTCACGGCCACCAAGTTTTTTCCCATGAGTTGACAGCATGCCTGCCCCATCACCTGAGTACCGCTGGTCTTCGAAGAGGGGTCAACAAAATAGTACTCTTTGTTTTGGAAGGTAACCGAGCGGCCCTTGCATCCTGGGTATAGTTCTATTGGAAAATATTAAACTGTCAAAATGTTAATACGAACATTTCAAGCAAACAATGCTCATAAATCAAATAAAACTAAATAACGGATATGATCCCCATATTTATCATCAAAATAAATCATAACAAAATTAATATGTGTGCCATTATATATATTAAATGAACACAATGATAACTGATTTATACCTGTAAAAATGTCTTTAAATTGCTTCACCTGACGCTTTAGCGCCGCCACCTGTCCGGAAAGTGCCACATTCTCTGCTTGGATTATGTTCACTTTTTGTTGTACGTCCTGCAGACTCCTTTCGAAGTTGTTGTCTGAGCGATGTAAATGTTCCACTTCGGCGGTTAAATTCTCGTCCGTCATTCTGGCCGTGTTCGCCTCGCGGCTTAAGACGCCGAGCCAAGCTTTGATCCACGATGCTATACCGTCGGCGCTGATGTAATTCTTAACACTTTCAGTTGGAAGGGAGTAGCTTGAATTCGTAACGGCACCCTGTGTGTTTAAAACACTCAAAACCATGTGCAATGAAATAAAATATATGAACTTCATTTTGACAAAAAATTGAGCGGACAAAAAACGATCTTGTTTCAAGCAATGATTTGGCCACAAGCGAGAACTGATATTTGTTGTGATTGTGCGTTTTTTCATGGTCCCACGACCCCTGTCTGACCTGCCCGACTTTTGATCTTATTTAATCAAACTCTAAATATGGTCCTTCAAAACATAGATAAGTTAAATTAAGTCAAATACTACAGTGTGCTAAAATACAGTATTCATTATATTTTTACAGCAGCGGTCTTGAATTTTAAGACTAATTTATGTTGTGAAATTCGACATTAATTGGTAGAAGGTTGACATTTGTATGGCACACTTAAAACATTGTTGGTTATCACTAATCTATTTTTGTTATTTCATGCAACTAGCATTAAAACACTCTAATGGGAATCGTTCCAGATACAGCGCACATGTATCCCATGTGCAATGAAATAAAATATATGAACTTCATTTTGACAAAAAATTGAGCGGACAAAAAACAATCTTGTTTCAAGCAATGATTTGGCCACAAGCGAGAACTGATATTAGTTGTGATTGGGCGTTTTTTCATGGTCCCACGACCCCTGTCTGACCTGCCCGACTTTTGATCTTATTTAATCAAACTCTAGATATGGTTCTTCAAAACATAGATAAGTTAAATTAAGTCAAATACTACAGTGTGCCAAAAATCAGTATTCATTATATTTTTACAGCAGCGGTCTTGAATTTTAAGACTAATTTATGTTGTGAAATTCGACATTAATTGGTAGAAGGTTGACATTTGTATGGCACACTTAAAACATTGTTGGTTATCACTAATCTATTTTTGTTATTTCATGCAACTAGCATTAAAACACTCTAATGGGAATCGTTCCAGATACAGCGTACATGTATCCCATTGTTTCGCGTTTAAACATAAAACAGGACTAGATAGTGCGGAATCCGGCGGAGAGTGGGGTCAGAAATAATGGAAGACTAGCGTAAGTGGTTCGGCAATGAGCAAAGGTGGCAGAGTGGATCCACGAATATTTATCTGTATATTTTCCATTAAGTTCGGTAGAAAAGTTTTATTATTATTATTATTATTTTGCACGACGGAACGTATTCACCGTGTATTGCTTACTAAGACGGCATTCCCAGCGCTATGGAGATCCTGGTGTACCATGAAAATCTGACTCCCCTAAAATGTGACTCCCCAGTCAGATTTTCATTATGAAAATCTGACTCCCCAGTCAGATTTTCATAATGAAAATCTGACTCCCCCTATGAAATTTTGACTCCCCCCAAAAAACATTCATTAATCTCATTTTATTTTAGTAAATGACTACAATCTTGTAGTATGCATAATGGAGGATACATTGGCACTTTTTTGTAGTTTGCAGGTGAAAATTTTAATGAAAAAATGACTATAAAAAATGTGCCAATGAAAATCTGACTCCCCCACGAAAATTTGACTCCCCCGCCACAAAGCTTCATAAATCTTATTTTATTTTGTGTATATGTGATATGACTGTGATCCTGTAGCATGTAAAATGGTTGATACATTGGCACATTTTTTGTAGTTTGCAGTGAAAATTTTACTTTATGAAGATTATATTGGAAGTACTTGAAAGTTTCATGGTAAAAAAAGGGCGCAAAAAATAAGATTAATGAAGTTTTGTGATAGGGGAGTCAAATTTTCATGGGGGGGTCAGATTTTCATTATTTGCTCATTTTTAATTTTCTTACTTTTTCACATAATTTTTCACCTGCAAACTACAAAAAATGTGCCAATCTATCCTCCTTTTTACATACTACAAGATCACAGTCATATACTCAAAATGAAATAAGATTTATGAAGTTTTGTGGAGGGGGAGTCAAATTTTTAATTTTCTTATTTTTTTCATTAAAATTTTCACTGCAAACTACAAAAAAATGTGCCAGTGTATCAACTATTTTACTTACTACAAGATCAGAGACATAAACCCAAAATAAAATAAGGTTTATGAAGTTTTATGATGGGGGAGTCAAATTTTCACAGGGGAGTCAGATTTTCATTTTGTGCAGATTTTTAATTTTCTTTATTTTTCATTAAAATTTTCACCTTCAAACTACAAAAAATGTGCCAATGTATCCTCCATTTTACATACTACAAGATCACAGACATATACCCAAAATAAAATAAGATTTATAAAGTTTTATGATGGGGGAGTCAAATTTTCATGGGGGAGTCAGATTTTCATTATGTCCTCTTTTTTAATTTTCTTATTTTTTTCATTTGAATTTTCACTGCAATCTACAAAAAATGATCACAGTTATATACTCAAATAACATAAGATGTATGAAGTTTTGTGGAGGGGGAGTCAAATTTTCATGGGGGGAGTCAGATTTTCATTATGAAAATCTGACTGGGGAGTCACATTTTCATAATGAAAATCTGACTGGGGAGTCACATTTTCATGGGAGTCAGATTTTCATGTTACACTTGTAGGCACATTTTCTGTCCTCATACAGCTAGTGCCGACAGGAAGTTTTAGGTCATCCTAGATGGTTTCTATTATGCTCCCCTAACACAAATGAGGTAGCAGAAGAATTACGTTGCTGGCATAGCATTCGAGTGTACTTCTTGATGTTGAAATTTAAACTTATTAAAGCTGCCATGAAGTTAACCACACTGTGTGAGAGTAATTCATAACCAAAACGATTATAATAAGCACTCTTCTCAGTGATAAGACGGTTTAACTTGTATGACGTTCTTTAAAAGGGAGGGTGGGAAACCAGTACACAAAGTACGCAATAAACCGTTCCCCTATCTAGGGGCCAGGAGATAAAACTAGTAAGTGAAATCTGCGATGTAAGTAGGTTCATAATCCATCTATCATTTTCTCACCCGCTCTAAGACAGACAAGCTTAGTCATGACACTCTATCAAATGCGCGGCTCTGAAAAAAGTCAAACTGTCTATTAAGGGAAAGTTCCAGTGTATACAGTCTGTTATCTTCTCACTGATAGCCCCGTTGTCACTAGATTTGATGGTGGGAACGAGGGATACATACAAGTCCAGAGCAAACATGGTAACATTTGTAAAATGCAATAAGAAGTGGACGAAGTAACTACTTTCTAATCTATGAACTTACTTGAAACTAACACCAAGCCTTTCCAACAAATTAAGCGTTTTAGAAAACGATGACATGCCGAATGGTGAATCATATTTTTTGGGGCTATCTAATCGTCTTTAAACATCAATTGATACATTTTATTTGACAAAAGTAAAGACTAAAATAATTTGATGCTCTTTTATCCATAATGCAATTTTTAATTTTCAGTAGAACATGATGTATTTTATCATGCGTGCTTTTAACATTAACCACTCGCTTGCAGTTTTATTAATAAATTATAATTGTGAAAAATATTACCCAGCAAAAACGTCACGTTCGGATCACGTTGCTACACGCGTCATAGCGACGGATTAACCACGTGGTACCAACATGACGTGTTTGCTGGGTATCATTATTTTACTACTGGTAAAAGATATTCAGAGGAACACTCCGGGAATAAAGTATCAAATGGTCCCAAAATCGAAAAAAGAAAGCAAGGTGATTGATAGCGACCCACAGGAAAATTACAGGAAAGTCCTGGAAGCCATCCACATCAAGAAGACAGGGTCCAGTCTCAGCAGAAACAATGGTGCAATTCTCCCTGACATCTGTCTTCCTTTCCTAAGGCAATAGGTGTGTGTGTTGGGGGGCAAGTATATTTCCAGCATTGAAGCCATTCACCTTGATAGCCTCATTCCCTGATGACGTTCTGCTAGACATAGATATATTAAAGGTAAAACTATTTCAATATGAAGCTGTCGTACCGATGTTTTAATTGCTTTACCCGAAGTGGGAGCTGTCATCTGGGCACACACACGATTCCTGGCAGTGATCGCTGGTTTTCTAACAGAAACCCTGTAACAATAATGGCGATTGTGCAGGCGTTTTCTGACGGTAAATTCAGAAACAAAGTTTGTCCTGTTCTTGTTACTGTCAAGTCCATTAATATAATGAAATGTTTTCTCGTATTAATATTTCCTCTTCTCTGGGTGTGGATTTCTTCGGTCGACCCTATCCAAGCAATCGTTCCCATGTGCCTGCAGTTTTGTAATGATGTCTAACCGCCGCAATGGTTCTCATTGAATAACCCAAGCCGTGGCAATAAGGCGGTATAAAACTCCCTCCTACGTCAGTTGCTTGCATCCCTCTCACGTAGAATGCGTACATTAAAAATAATTGGAGTTTGGACATATCAATAGTGAGGCTAGGCAGGTCAATCTTCTGATACTCACATGATCACATCCCATATTTATACGATGATCGGTTGCCTAGCTGTTATGAAACAGTAGAATCAAAACCATGGATACCCTTAGTAATGTGCATAATTGCAGGTAAAGGTCACTATACTTCCATGGATAGACCAGCTTAAACTAAGATGAAACTGTTGGACTCTAGTCTTTTTATTCAGTTTTGTAACATACTTTAGAGACTTCTGTGTTCATGCAGAGGGCACTGTGGGTAGACATGGTAACTAATTACCAACGGCAACTTATCTGGGAAGTTGACATTTGCCTTCTCCCCGTTATATAATTTACACCGCAATCCCGCCAACGCATTATTAAATTTTTATTTATACAATAAGGATAAATGACACAATAGATTAATTCACCATCAGTTAAAATCACGGGAATTACTAAGATCGATATATTATTTTCAAATATAAAGCTGTGTAATGATATCAACATTGGTCAACACGTGCATGCATTTCTGCATCGAAGGCGTTCCACAACTTTTGCAACTGTGTATTATATATTTTTTTCATTCACAAATGGCTAGGCAACATAATACCAACTAGAGAAATGGTAACGCACTATTTGTATTGTATCGTCATTAATATATCATATTGTACAAGGTCATGACAATCTATGTGCCAGTACAGAAATAAATTGTATTGAATTGAATTGAATTATAACATTGCTCGTTGCACTAAACACTTTAATTCACACTATAGCAATTAGAACCATCACATTTTTGTCCCTCTTCAACAAAGAACCATTTCAGGAAACACATGGATCATTCACGAATTTTAAATCACGGTTCGAGCAAAAAATCAGTCACACAATGGGTCACACTTAAATGGTAATTATTTCTTTATTTCCTTTGGTTTAAAAAAAAACAAAATTGACAAGGGTGCATTGGGAACGTCACACCTATGCAAATTTCATGCACTGACAGAGCTCAAAATCTAGAAAGTTAAAGTTGAGATTATATGTGACCTAATTTCAAGGGATGATGACAGTGGTCCTTGTAGTCTATAAGCTCGAGGCGAACCAGTAACAGTGTCTTTTATCCGCCGACATGACGCGGGGCCAGCAGACGAGACGGGTGGGGATTAAAACTAAGAGTAAGCTGGTGTTACAGCATATATTAATTTGTCAAAACTTCCGCGTACAACAAAATAGATGTTATGAAGCACCATTTTCAAAGGTCACCATTGGCAAGTTTCCTCTGATGCAGGCTTTGCCTAATTTTGCATATTTTAAATGTTTTAATTTTATAAATATATAAATGAATCCCCTTCAGATATACAGGGTTACCACTTAATATGGAATATTTTTTATCATTGTTATTTTTGCGAGCTGATTTTAAAAAAATTGGCTTGATTCATCAAAAAAGTATGTCGTTGAGTGATAAAAATATCCAGTCTTCTATTGTTAGATATTTTGGTCAATAATATCAAATCTGACATAAGATGTCATTCAAAAGAAAAGAACACCCCCAGAAAACCATATCAACAGTTTGATGTCAGTATTAATTTTAAGCTAAGATATTAAAGAAAATGATAGTCTCCCGACAGTGACATGTTACACAGTCAAAGAACTCATTACAGTAAATCATGAAAAGTCATCAATAGCAGGTATGACCTCCAGCAGCCGCTTGCAGCGCCCTCATCCTACCTGGCATACCTTGTGAAAAAATTTTTAGAGTTTGGATGGGGATATCATTCCGCGCAGTGATATTTGCCTGTCGCAGTTCATCATTATTTACCGGCCGATAACCACAGCTATTAATTCTGTGAGTTACTTCCGCCCACAGACTTTCAATTGGGTTCATATCTGAGGAGTTTGCTTGTGACGTAACGCAAAGCCAGTCATTTTTCACTATACGCTGTACCGGCAAACATGGTAACATTTGTAAATTCATCATCATCATCATCATTTAGAGCCTATAGTGTTCCACTGTTGGACAAAGGCCTCAGCATGCTTTTTCCATTGTTTTCTATCCTGAGCCTCAGATTCCAGTTTGGCCAAGGTTTCTTCTTCCAAGACTTCCAGTAGTCATCTAATTCATCCCTCCATCGTTTGACCGGCCTTCCTCTTTTTCTTTGTCCATACCTTGGGGTCCATTCTGTAAGCCTGATTGTCCACCTATTGTCCTTCATTCTTTTGACATGTCCTGCCCACCTCCATTTCATTTCTTTAACTGTGAGCAGTACGTCCTTAACTTTGGTCTGTTCACGTAACCATACATTCGTTTTCCGCTCTCTTTGATTGATGTTCAACATACTTCTTTCCATCTTTCTCTGAGCTACTTGTAGCTTGTGTTCCATGGAGGCATTCAGTGCCCAGGTCTCTGAACCATAGGTGATTGCCGGCAGCACACAAGCATTGAACACTTTCTTTTTCAGGCAGGTAGGAAGGTTGCTCTTGAAGATGTCATTGTGTTTCCCATATGCTGCCCATCCTGCTTTTATCCTTCGTTGGATTTCTTTCTCCAGTGTTCGATCACTAAGGCTGAACCGTTGCCCAAGGTATATATACTCTTCTACTGCTTCTATCTCTTTGGTGTTGACCTTCACTGTGCAAGGGGTGGTTAGTGGTCCAAACATCACCTTTGTTTTGCTGGTGTTCATCTTTAGCCCACTTTTTGCGCTTTCATCTGCTAACGCCTCTAGCATTTCTTCGAGGTCTTTTGCATCATCTGCTACTATTATGATGTCGTCTGCAAACCTAAGGTGATTGAGCCTGGTACCGTCTATGTTTATGCCCTTGTCCTGCCAGTCTAGATCCCTGAATATACGTTCCAATGCTGCTGTGAACAGTTTAGGAGAGATTGTATCTCCTTGGCGTACACCTTTCTTGATCCTGATCTTATTGGTGGTCTTGTGTAGTTTGACTGTTACAGAGCTATCGGTGTATATGTCTCTGATGACGTCTACGTATCCATCTTCGATCCCTAGATCTTGCAGGGATGCCAGTATATACTGGGTTTCTACTGAGTCGAAGGCTTTTTCATAATCAACGAATGCTACACATAGTGGAATGTTATACTCGAGACATTTCTCTTTGAGCTGGTTGACAGTGTGCATATGATCAGTAGTGGTGTACTGGCCTCTGAAACCCGCTTGTTCCTTTGGCTGCGCTTCATCTAGTTGTCTTGTTAGCCTTTCGGTCAATATCTTGGTGTAAATCTTGTACAAATTAGAAAGTAGGCAGATGGGTCTGTAATTCTTGATGTCTTTCCTGTTGCCCTTTTTGAACATTATGATCATGTTGGCGTTCTTCCATGCTACAGGAATTTCCTTCAGATGTAAGCACTTTGTGAAGAGCCTGGCTAATTCCTGAGATAGGATATCTCCTCCTGCTTTTACCATTTCTGCTTTGATGTTGTCATTTCCTGCAGCCTTTCCGTTCTTCATTTTCTGGACTGCTGACTCTACTTCCCAAGCTGTTATGTCTGGTAGATCGCATGCCTTTGTTGAGATTTCTATTTCCTTGTTGCTGGCATACAACTCTCCATAGAATTCTTCTACTCGTTCTAATATCTGGTCTTGTGTGGTGAGCTCATTTTCGTCTTTGTCTAGAAGAGTCAGCATTCTATCCTGCCCTAGTTGAAAGGATCTCTTTGCTCTTTTCATGCTCTTTTTATTTTCGATGGTCTCTGCTATCTTCTTCATGTTCTGCTTCCTGATGTCTTCCCTTGCCTTCTTCTTGATGGTCTTATCCAGTTCTGCATATTCGATGTTGTTTCTGATGTCCCTGTTGTTGTTTACCTCCGTTTTCTTCATCATCCGTCTTTTCTTCATGAGAATCCTCGTTTCTGTTGAGAGCTTCGAGTCCTTCATTATACTGGCCGATGCGACTTCTGATGCACATTCTAGGATGGTGGTCGTTATTCTATCGTTCATTTCATCTACTCCATCTTCACCTTCTAGCTCTAGTGCACTGAATCTGTTCTTTAGGAGGATTTGGAACTCGTCCTTCTTTATGACCAGTTGCTCAATACTAGGTCTCTTTGATGGATTTGACAGGCATTTCTGTCTGTCCTTCCTGACATTGATCCTAATCACTCCCATTACTGCTCTGTGGTCACTGCCCGCATCCAGTCTGTTTAGCACTTTCACATCCGTGAAGATGTTCGGTCTGTTTGTCATGATGTAATCAATTTCGTTTCTTGTACATCCATCTGGGCTTTGCCATGTCCATCTTCTTGATATCTTCTTCTTGTAGACGGTATTCATGATCTTCATGTTATTTGCTGTCGCCCATTCAATCAGTAAGTCTCCTCTATCATTCCTCTCTCCGCTGCCAAATTTCCCTGTGGAACGCTCTTGTTCGTCTGACTTTATCCCGATCTTGGCGTTGAAATCACCCATGACTATGTGGTAGTGGCAGTCTGTTGTCAACTGACGTTGTACTTCTTCATACAGTTGTTCTACTTCTTCATCTGGTCTGCTTGATGTTGGTGCATATACCTGAATGAGTTTCATTGAGAATCTCTGATTCACTTTGAGCTTGACTATAGCCACCCTTGTGCTAATTTGCTTTACCTCGATGATGTTCTTGCTTAGCGCTTTGTGTATCAGAAATCCAACTCCTTGTTGGCCACTTTAAACACTTGGCTTTCAGAAAATTGCAGAAAATATGTCAGATGTAGAAGATCACAATGATGATGACCAGATGACCTTCTTGACGTGTTCAATTAAGTGGTGTTTAAGATATAGAAAAATATTTTAAAATTAGATAAAAACATATATAAGATGCGAATAGCTTATAATAACAAAACTTTATGGTGACATGACATAACATTTTATCTATGTCACATAACATAATTACTTTAAACACTTGGCTTTTAGAAAATTGCAGAAAATATGTCAGATGTAGAAGATCACAATGATGATGACCAGGTGACCTTCTTTGTTAGCGCCTCCCAGATCAAGAACAAAACAATCCTTAGTCCCAGCGTTCAAGAATTCTGCAGGGATCTTGATGCATACTGGCTCACTCAGATGGACAACAATACTGTACATATAGATGGCGCCAACACGCAATACCCAGCAGGTATGCACAAAATAAATCTCTGACCATTAATCATCATTATTTGCGAAACGTACAGCTATGTCAGTGCAGTGTAACTATTTTTAACTTGATTTTTCATATTATATTATATTATATTATATTATATTATATTATATTATATTATAGATGGTGATCATGATCGCGAGAAACGCAACCCCTGCAGTAATAGAATTTGTGAGTCACAATATTGCACCCCTACTTATGGTGTTTGGAAGTACGAATGTTGGAAGGAATATAATACTTGTACGAACTGTGGATCTTGGTGGTTCTTTAACAGATAACAATTTATAACGATTTTAATTGATACTGGTAATGTCTGGGTTTGATGGGTTTGCCACACAAATTGACATATGTGCATTATTTGTTTGAAAATCATATAAGTGCAATAATTAGCTCTAAACATTAAGCAAACATTATTACTTAACATCATTCAATGTTATCCATTTATTTAAATACTTTCTTTTATTAGAGGGACCTTACAATAAAAGCGGCCGCCAAATTTTCGAACATCATATTTGTGTTTGTCCTTCATTCATTCTTTCGAGTATGGTATCCAAAAGGCATAAAGATATTTATTGGTGTGTATTGTGTGCCAAACTCTTCCCTTGCAAACACTCCCTATAGGATCCTGTGGGATTCCAAGGAGTTTTTTTGAGCCATCAATTTACTTATTAAAATTTCACATAGCCCTGCACAATGGAAAATCTGGCTATCCGGATAAAATGTATAAAGTTTAAGGTCACAATATAGTTGCTGATAATGTAGATGCTTAATTGTAACCTGTCACCGACACCAAAACCTACTACTGGTGCAATGGTTTATTCAGTACTATAGTGAGAGCGAGCCATTGAGTACCATGTAATGTGATAGTAAATACTTCTTATGTACAGCTGAACAAATAAGTGCATATGCCAGACTAATAAGACAAGTATATATATTTATACTTTCACAATATTAATCAGTGAACCAGTCGGTCTTCTTCAGGTAACATACATGTAATTACACATTATGATTAATAATTTGTTACATTATTAATATCATTTTTTAAATTAGAAACAGCAGATGGATAAAAAATCTTTAAAAACCTTTGGGTCCTTTGAAAGTAAAAAGTCTACAGTTAATCAATTTTAATTTTAAATTTTTTTTAAAAAAGAACCATGTGCAAGGTGGGTACAGTAGGACAAGATTTTTTCCTGTTTTGCTTCTTTTCTATCCATGTAAATGCCAACGTAAATGGCACTAAAAGAGGGGTGATCAAGACCAGTGATTTTACTACACGTAGTTGTCGCAACTACACACTTGCAATCTTCTTCAGTGGCACATCCATACCACGAATGTAAATAAAATCACATTTATGCACCTGTGAAAATTCGATAATATAATTCCATTAGAAGTAAAATCATTCAACTTTCTTGAAAAAAGTATGCCCTTTGTCTTGTTTTTTTTTTTTTTTT